GTGTAAATGTACACTTGCATAGTTATACATTGGTTACTTTATATTGTATGGAATATTGACATTGTGAAACTGATGGTGTATTTGTCAATGTGCCTGTTTATTGTCCCACTCTGCAATGGGGAAGGCACAGTATTTCTTCTTCAATCCCAATTAATCAAGGGATAGATTGATGGCACAAATTTGTAAGCACCATTTTAAAATGTGCAACTACATGGCTGGCATCCTGTTGGCCAGTCCCTATTAGTGAACCCACTAAATCTATAATTCAATGATGAATCAACCTGTAGCAAAAACCAGTTGGTTAAATAACTTTAATCTAATCAAGACTGACAACAGTATTTTAGGCTCATGTGAAATAGTTGTGCATGTGGAACTCCACTTATACAACTGTGCACTGAACATCACCTTTGCACAGTGGCCCTAAAAAGCACAACTGCATGTGCAGATAATTAAACAGTCTGTAAGCACTTAGAAAGGAATGCCATGGCCACTAAAAGTCAGCATGGATTTCTCAAAAACAAGTCATGTCAGATTAATCTTAAATCTTTTTGTGGTAGAGTTATATGTTTCACAGTCACAAACTTGGTAGATGAAGTGAATGATGTATATATAGCATATCTTGATTCCAATAAGGCCTTTGACGAGATCCTCCATAATATTCTTGCAAAAAAGCTCATAAAATGTGGACCAGAGAATACAATATTATGTGGATTTGTAATTGAAATCACAGAGTTGGAAGAGATCACAAGGGTCATCCAGCTCAACCCTCAGCCATGCAGAAATACACAATCAAAGAACTCCCAAGAGATGATCATTCATCTTCTTTTTAAAAAACCCCAAAGAAGGAGATTCCGCCACTCTCTGATGGAGTGTGTTTGACCATTGAACAGCTCTTACTGTTAGGATGTTCTTTCTAATGTTTAGGTGGAATCTCCTTTCCTGTCATTTGAATTCATTGCTCAGGGCCCTATTCTCTGGAACTGCAAAAAAAAAAAAAAAAAAAAAAAAAAAAAAAAAAAAAAAAGCTTGCTCCAACCTGAGTATGACATCCCTTCAAATATTTGAACATGTCTATTTAACTTTCTCTTCTCTTAAACACACCCAGCTTTCTGAGTCACTCTTCATAGGGCATGTTTTCCAGACTTTCACCATTTTGGTCACCCACCTCTGGACAAGCTCCAGCTTCTCAGCACCATTTTTTGAATTCTGATGCCTCAAACTGGACACAGTATTCCAGATGAGGCCTGACTGAAGCAGAATAGAATAGTACTATTACTTTCTTTGATCTATACTATACTTCTATTGACCCACCACAGTTCAATTCTATTGATGCCAATCTATTGTTTGCTCAAGCCCTCTCCCTAAAGTTACCAACTGTGCAGTTAATGTGCTTACAATATATAAAATCACTTGTCAGTTAACCAGCTATACACCCAATGATCAGCCTCCTATAAAATATTACTAACAGCATAAGTTTGCCTGCTTGTTTAACATATGTGACAACCTGCATCCCCCTCCAAAAGTGATACAAACCAAACTGAACACACCATACCAGCTAATAAAAACAATGCAGCATACCACCATAAATCTACAGCTATATAGAACTATATATTTTAAAAGCATACACATGCCAACAAACAATTCTAAACAAGGAATTAGATGACCAGGTTTGTTTCAAATACATATCAATTATCCCACATGATATACGAGGGGATAATATCATGTGGGATAATTGATATGTATTTGAAACAAACCTGGTCATCTAATTTTATAGCCTTTTCAACCTACCACATGACCATGTATAACAAAACATCAAAGTTAAGCATCATGACATAATATTGTACCTTTAAGCTGAAACCATACATCGTATAATACCATACATCATGGTTGGATCATGCATAGCATATACAGCATACATAACATGGACTCCTGGAACAATAATCATGGCAGGATCAGCCCAGTACTGACACCTCCTCTGAACAAATTCTGCCAAGAAAATTATGTGATAGGATTAGGGTTGCCATAAATCAAAAATTATTTGAAGGTATACAACAAACACCCTGTTACATAGATTACATTTTTTTAGTGTCACCTTGGGAGGGAGGGAGTAAAAATGTTAAATTTTAAGCCATCCAGGCCACAAAATTTTAGCACTAAGCTCCTAATAATCTAGCTACAAATCCCAGTCTAGTCTAATGACTATGATACTGATTTAGAGTTTTTGTCTCGAATTGGGCTGGAGCAAATGGTGGAGAAATTTGTTGAATCTGGTTTTAATGAAAACTTATCAAAATTTACAAACTTCCTCTTCAATGGTATACAAAAGATGTAAGATTTTAGAAATTCAAACTGAAGGAGTGTAGCTCCCAGGAGGGCAAAATGAGGACACTGCCCAAATAAGAATTCTGCCCCCCTTCCCCTGACTCTGAAATATGATGACTCTGATTTGTATTTCTAAATGCTCAGCTAACTTTTTAAAAAGTTACTACAATGCTAGAAATTTGGGGACTGAAGGGAAATTTCATTTGTAGAGGTATAATTCTTAGGAGGGAGGGGGGTGCTCTCATTTTGTACCTCCTCCCAGGAGCTACACCAATGGGAGGGAGTGAACCTAACAGATTTATCCATTCATCTTGTATGATGTGTATAAGAGAACAATCTTTTTGCAAAATCTGGCCATTTCTCAAAGTAAACATGGAATAGAATGTTCTCTTGAAATATCACCAAACTATGAGAAAATAAGCAGTGCAGCATTCATTTTGCTGCTGTCTCCTGGTGAAAAAGAATACTTTTCTTGATTTGTTTTATAAACACTAACTTTTACAGGAGACCTAGGCATATAATCCTTCACTAAGTTTCTTCTTGAAGATAGCAATGAGTAATTTTAGCAATTTTCTTCCCTCTGCAAGAATGTCTTCGAAAGCCATGCAGTTTTCAAAGGCTATTCACAATTTGGGAATTATTCTGTGCAAAAGTTGTGCATGGTTCTTTAGCATAGAGACTTGCATTTTCTTCACAGGAAGCAGCATTTTCATACAGAAAATAATATTTCTATACAACAATATTACTTCCTGTGCAGAAAATGTTGCTTCTTGTGTTAAAAATGTTTTCTATATGAATTATCCACCTGCAAATTTTGTGCAAAATAAATCAATCTCCAGTTACAGGATTTTCTGCATAGGAAATAGCATTTTCTATGCAGGAAATAATATTTTAATTAAATTTTCTGCTCAGAATAGATCTCTAACTGCAATGATTCTGGTCAGTCCATGATTCTTCACATCAGGTTTTTCAAGACTCAAAAACATATTTTTCAACCATTTAAAAATATTTTAAAATATTCTTTCCATCACTACTGAGACCGCAATCTAGCTTCCAGTGGAGATATTCAATGCTCAAGGTGAAGTACTAAAGGGGGCAACTCCATGGGGGCAGGAGCCTATTTTCTTCTTCATGACCACCCTATGGGCTTCACTTTTGTGTTTAATTGTAATAGAAGTGGCATGTACTTCCAACTGCCATTCTGATCTCTTCTTTAAAAAAGAAATAAATTAAATGGATTTTGAGGGGTTCAAAGGGGAAAACCTAAACTGTCACATTTATGGCCAACTTTGGGAGAGTTTTATTCAGTTGTTAGGCAAAAATAACCACCCCGCAAATTTGTACAAATGATGTTTTGAAACAATTTTGAGGTATTGGAGAGATTTAGGCGGTCACAGGAAGACAACAGGGCTGCAAATATAGGGCTTCATGATGGCAATCAAGAAAGGTGATGGTAAAAGAAAGAAAAAAAGAGAAGAGAAATAGGCAGGAAGAACAAAGGCATGGAAGGACATAGAGCACATGCTTTGCATGTAGGAGGTCCCCTGCATCTCCTGTTAAAAGGCTCAGATAACAAATGAATATCAAGATCTCTGCTTGAGAGTCTTGGAGAGATTTTGCCAATCAGAGCAGGCAATATTCAGCTAGATCAGGGGTAGGCAACCTTTCCCCTTTAAGGGCCGAGGGACTTCAGCTCCCAGAATCCCAGGAGCTATTGGCCAACATGGGACTATTGGCCAACATGGCTGAGGCTTCTGGGAGCTGAAGTCCCTCGGCCCTTAAAGGGGAAAGGTTGCCTACCCCTGAGCTAGATAGACAACTAGTTTCACTTGGAATAAAACAGTGGTGTGTGCAGTTTTGTTATCTTGTCATAGAAAGAAAAGGCATACAGAACTGGATCTTTTCTTTATGATAATAAAGCCTAGGCAGGGGGAAGGGAGGGTAATAAAGTTCATGTTTTCTTAAATTATGAATAGGAGCATTATTTAAAAGAAAGAAAGAAAGAAAGAAAGAAAGAAAGAAAGAAAGAAAGAAAGAAAGAAAGAAAGAAAGAAAGGCATTATTTAAAGTAAGAGAAACATCAATGAAACATGACAGTGTAAAAGAAACCTAGTATGTGGAATGGCAATAAAGAAATGGGGCAATCAAAGTTATGCATAGATAAAATTAAAGAATGACACCTGACTCCAACATTTTCATCACATTTATATTTATTGCACATTTTATTTTGCCCTAATTCCAAAGAATATTGGACAGCATAGATTGTCCCCTGTGTCATACAGTCCTCTCAAGGAGGGAGGCTAGGATGGGAGTGTTAAGAAATGTAAAAGATGGTAGTGGATCTCTTAAGCAGAGTAATGAAATTGGCAAGGCAAAAGCTGAATGACAGCCAGTCCCATGCCCCCCATGGGACCAACAAAAAAGAAAGAAAGAAAGAAAGAAAGAAAGAAAGAAAGAAAGAAAGAAAGAAAGAAAGAAAGAAAGAAAGAAAGAAACTTAGTTTTCTTTATAAAATACGTACAAGTAGCTTTATTGTTATTGTGTGCCTTCACATTATATGGCAACCATGGGAAGGTGAACCTATTTTTCTTGGCAAGAGTTGTTCAGAGGGGTATACCTTTGCCTTCCTTTGAGGCTGAGAGAGTGTAAATTGCCCAAGATCCCCCAGTGGGCTTCCATGGCTGAGCAGGGATTTGAACCCTGGTCTCCAGAGTTACACTCTAACACTCAAACCACTATACCATGATGGCTCCACAAGCAGCTTTACTTACAAATATTTTTGCTCACAGTCTTGTGGATAATAGACAAGAGAAAGAAAAAAATCTCTGCAGGTTAGAGTAATACAAGGGAAGAGATGATGTGGTAAAACAAGCAAACAGAAATTATCATAGTACAAATGTACTGAGTGACCCTTATGGTGACCCTAAGGCAAACCTATCCCAGGACTTTCTTGGCATGTTTCCTCAGAGGGGGTTTTCCATTGCCATTCTCTAAGACTGAAAGAGTGCAACTTCCCCAAGGTCATCTAGTGGGTATCCATGGCCAAGCCAGGATTAGAATCCTGGTTTCCAGAGACCTAGTTCAATGCTCCAACCACTACACCAACCTGGACTTTATCACACATAATAATAATAATATTAATAATAATATTTATTTATTTCTATCCCGCCCCTCTGGAATGCAATCAGGGTGGCTTACAACAATAAAAACATCAATAAATACATCCAATTACAACCCCTGCCCCTTAAAAGATTATTAAACTAGAGCAATTTAAAATATAGATAAAACAACATATAAAACCAACATCTTAACAATACTACATAATCAGCAGCAGCATCAAAGGGAGGGAGTTATCTGACTCTTTGGGCCGGGATAGTTATAAAGGAAAGGCCTGCCAGAAGAGATCAAAATTTTGATAACAGTGCTTTTGGTGATACTTATTGCACGATGCTCTCTCCCTCTTGTCATTGCTTGGTCCTCCAAGCATAGTTAGCCAGCATTTTTCCACTGATGGGAAAAACCTGTCAATAAACTCCCAATCACACTGGTAGAGTGCTAGTCCTCAAGTGCAATAAATTATTCTGTGGCAGTTCCAGGATTACGCAGTCACATGGTGTCAGTGTCTCCTTCTCTCCTTCATCCCCCTCCTCTTCACTATTCCAGCTACAGCTGGCTTATCTCCTTTACTTTCTTTTATTTTTTAATTTTTATTAAAATTAAAATTTTATTTTATTT